TGGCTCAATATGGCCACTACCTTCCCCACAAACTCAGTATTAACAGATTATTCTGCTCCACGAATCTCTACAAGTATGGAGGCTGTTATGGTTTATATCCACATGCCTCCCAAAGCTTCCTGTACTCATAGGCACGGCTTCTGGGAGGTGACTGGATCAAGGGTGTGTGACACTCATCACTGGACTAGTCCACTGATAGGCTTACAACTGGGTGTGATGTTGGGAGGTGAAGGCTGGTGGGAGGAGGTGGCTCACTGTGGGCGTGGCCTGGAAGGATATATATAGTCCTCCTCCTCCCTTGAGCCTTTGCTACTTCCTGCCTGCCATGTCATGAACTGTTTCTCCTCTGCCATGCCCCTCTGCCTTGGAGCCAGCCCACTATGGACTGAAGCCTTTACATTTTATTTTGTGAGGCAAAATAAACCTCTCTTTCTTTAAGTTATGGGTGTATGGTATTTTGTCCCAGCAACAAGAAAGTAACTCAAAGAGGACACTGAGGTGTGATTCCTGGATAATGTGTGTACATTCTGAGTAAGAGTTTCTCTGCAGTCCTTGTTCACCTTCAAAATGTAAGGATATATAGCTTGGCAGGAAAGGATGACCAAGCTGCTGGGGAGAGAGGCATTGGGACAGACAAGATACTGGTGTCTCATAGGTATAGCTGCCCCTCAGTACCCACAGAGGATTGGTTTCAGGATCTTGCCCCACCAAGAATATCAAAATCAAATCCCTTATGTAAAATGGTGTAGTGTTGCATAGAACTAATATATATCCTCCCCGCTACTTTAAACTATTTCTAAATGATTTATGGGACCAAATATAATGTAAATGTTATGGAAGTAGTTATACTGTATTGTTTAGTGAATAATGAAAAAAAGAAGTCTAAGCATTTGCAGTACATATACAATTTTAAAAAATACTTTTGGTCCTTGGTTTAATCTACAGATAAGGAACCCAGGGATATAAAGAGTGGATTGTGATAGCAGATTTTTTTCTATCCTTGTTTTCAACGCTTCATTTCTCATTCATGCTGGAAGAAGAAAAAAAAAATAAGCCAAAACATTTGCTCATTCTCAGATTATTTTATTCTAATGTGGAGGTAGAAATCTCGATTTGAGTCCCATTTCTGCCACTTATGAATTGTGGGAACTTGGATATGTCAGCTAGTCTCAGTTATTTCAACAGCGAAAAGGGCAGTTACAATAACATTTTTCCTGTCTCATTCACAGGGTTAAAAGAATGAATGCATCCATGTATTTGAAGAATGCTACATATATACACAATATAAACCGTGACTATCTTATAAAAGTGCAGGGCCAATAATGACTGCCACTTTCATTTGGGTCAACATACTCTATTACTGGTGTCTGGTCACATCTGTAATCTCAAGTTATTATTGTAAGAATGGCATAGATTCTGGATCCATAATTTATTAACCAAAGATAGTAATTTTAGGGATAGTGAAATATTAAAAGGAAAATTATGGAAATCGAGAACTTATGGTCAGAATGTAGTTTTCTTTCCTTTTTTTTTTGTTTTGGTACTGGGGATCAAACTCAGGACCTTGCGCTCAAGAGTCAGGCATGGTGCCCACTGAGCTAAATCCCCGGGCCTTTCCTTTTTTTTTTTGAAGAACTAGATTAGAAGTTGAAGACTTCACCTCTAATCCTTCAATGATTTTTAAACTAATATGGCACTATTTTGGGCCTCAATTTCTCCAATTTGTAAAATGAGAATGCTTGATCCATTGGTTATTAACTGAGATGAGTTTTGAAATCACCTGGGAAGACCCCCAAAGGTGAAATTTTTGTCTTGTTTCTGGCTCTGTTTCCAAGACTAGAAAGGTGCTTGGCATGAAAAGGGTATTCAATTAACACATATATATTTTATGAGTAGATTAAAAATTTAAAAGTTCACAGGCCTGGGTGAACTGGCCTGGAATCCTCATGTAGTATAGAGCAGAGCCTGTGTATATATTTGGAAAATTCCTCTTGGTAATTTTCAAGCATCCCTGGATCAGAACCACCAGGAACCACTACACTCAGCAATCTCCAAAGTCCCTTCAAATACAATTGCCAAATTCAGCAAATAAAGACAGGTTATACAGTTAAATTTGAATTTCAGATGAACAATGAATACTTTTTAGTGTAAGTACACGGAGTGCAATATTTAATTGCAATAACTTAGGTAAAGACCAACAAATGAGGCTCCTGCTGAGATGACGGTTAGGGAGAGAGTGGTACCTTGAAACTGGCCCAGATTTGAGAATCAGACAGGGAATCTTGGTTTGCGTCTTAGCCCTGAATGTGTGATCTGAGCAAATTTCTTCATTTCAGTGGGCTCCATAACTGTATCACCTACCCCATGGAGTTGATGAAAATATTAGAGATAATATAGGTATGCCTAGCACTTAGTAGATATTCAATGAAGTTTCATTATGATTACTACAGTTGATCTGATTCACTGTCCTACTACACCAGCACTTTGAAAATGACTGAGATTATAGTTGATTGTCCTAGATAAAGCTGGGCAAAGGTAGAATGAATGTAGGCTTACTCTCAAACAATACCTCTATGTCTGGGGGAACGAAACCATACTAAAGTTTAATGGATTATCCAAAATAAATAAAGGAAGGAAGTCTTTCATTCACTATGAAATGTCATTTGCTTAACTGACTTCTGATGTCAGAGCTACATATTTGCTCAGGTTTTGTAGGGATGAATGGGCCATTACTTGTGCAGTGGAAATACTTCAGTTTTGGGCTGATTTATCTCTCTTCTAGGTCAAAAGTATGGTATATTCCTAGAGCTTTTGTTGTTTCTAGACATTTTAACACATCTCCCCTAGTTTAAAAAAAAAAAAGGCAAACATAGCATTAAGTGTAAAATGTTCCTTAAAAGGAAATAGTTCTCTCCAGAAACATCTATTTGAACAAAATACTTAGATAATCTCATTATCCAATTTAAGGAGGTATGGATAGATAATAGATTGACAATTCAATTTTCAACAGAGCTACTCTAATATCAACTAAATACTTTAAGCCCTCCAAGTTTATTTCATGGCTTAGTGAACACACATTTGCTGAACACATATTATGTGCCAGGCACTGTGGTAGGTGCTGGAGACCATCAGTGAAGGGAACACACCCAAATCTTTGCCCTTATGGAGCTTGCATTCTGGTTTATGAAGGCAAATATAAACATACTAAGTGAATTAATTAGGATCTGGAAGGTGATAGGTCCTGTGGGAAGAAATGAAGGGAAGGAAGATAGGACTATGTGATGGGGTGGAGTGGCAGTTTTAAACAGTATGGTGGCAGTGGGGCTCTCTGGGAAGGTGGCATTCCAGGCCAGGCAGGAAGGAAGGGAAAGAGAAAGGGTGAGGCCACACTGATCTGAAAGAAGTAAAGGAGGACAATGTACACAAATAACAGGCAGCAGCACAGGAGCCTTCCAAGAACAGCCAGGGAACAGTGTGGCTGGGCAGGACAAGGGGAAGCCAGGAGAGTAGGAGTGGGAGAGAAGACGGAGTGACTATCAGTGTCAGAACCACTGATAAAGGATTCTAGGAGCCTACCTTCCAGTTTGAGTCTTACTTATTCTGGGACTGTATGGAAATCCTAAACATGGAATATGGGCCTCAACTTGCAAAACATGGATACGGGGCAAATCTGTTTCAGAAACAATGACCAGAGGGACTCAGTATAGCTTAGCGATATAGTATGTACTTAACTGGGTGGCTCCAAGTTCATATTCTCATTCCCCTACTTATTAGATGCGTGGCTTGGGCAGAGTCCTTAACTTCTCTGTGCTTCAAGTTCCATTTCTTTGAAATGAGAAATAAAACACCTCTTTTGTAGTTGTGAGGGTCATAAGGGCAATGCTTAACCCAGTGGGTGGCAGATAGAAAGTACTAAGTAAACATCATTATTTCTTGAAAACTAAAAGGATTAAATATTTTGAAATACCTGTTTTGATGTGTTTGACATGTACATTTAGTAACCATGAGCAAACAGTTGTGAAAGCCTGCCTAGCTTCCAAGATGGTCCCCAGTGATCCCTGTCTCTGAGGATTCACGTCCCGTACAGTCCCCTCCCACTTTGTAGCACAGTTGGTCTGGGTGACCACAGGACATGGCAAATGTGATGTCTGTCGCTTCTCAGGTTTCAGAAGGCACTGCACTTGCCATCTTGGTGACTTTCTCTGTCACCACTTGTTCTGGGGCAAGCCCACTACCATGCTATGAGCAGTCCTATGGAGAGGTTCGTGTGACACAGCCTTTTTTGGAAGTGGATCTGCCAGCTCTGATCAAGCCTTTGGGTGACAGAAGCTCCCACTGACATTTTGACTGCACCCTCATTAGATGCCCTGAGTCAGAGCCTCAGCAAAGCAGCTTAAGATTCCTGACCCTCAGGGCTCTGTGTGATGATCAGTGATCAGTGTTTGTCCTCTTACACAGCTGTGTGCGCGCGCGCGCGTGTGTGTTTCTAATTAACTTTTAAGTATAAAGAATTTATTGGACCTAAATCTATTTCACTTTTTGGGGGGAGGGGAACAGTACTGGGTATCAAACCCAGGTCCTCTGCCACTGAGCTACATCCCCAGCCCCAAATCACTGTTGATCCTTAGTAATTTACAAGCATTCATTTTTTACATAGTTATTTTCAATGCATACACTCTACTTTGTATCTGGTTTTCCCCTGTTGACTTATTCCAATGGAGTGCACGATTCTTAGCATTTATATTGGTTTATAACATTCTGTCCCCAATGTTATTTATGCTCCACCATGTCAATTCCCTGTGGTAGGACATTGGAATGACTTCTAGTTTTTCAAAATAATAACTGTCACAATAAAAAAAAATACAAATTAGGTATGCAATGTAGTGAGAATTACGTAGACTAGGGCCCTTTGATCCATCAAAGACAACACAGAGAGGCCCATCCTCTCAAAGTACACAGACTATGAACGAACACTGAACACATGCAAGGGTTAGATAAGTGACTGACCTTTCCAATGACCTAAGGCAGGGAGTGAAAGGAGCTGGGTGAACTTATTCGTGCAGACAATAATAATAACTCTCTCGAATCTGAATGCAGCACTCATTAAGAGGTTCTTCTGTAACCAGATCCTAGTAGCAGACAGCCGAAGTCCTCCACATTGGTTTACTCAGATGGGTTGGTTCTGGTGTTTAACCTTTCACTTTGCCCACCTTCCTGATGAGGTTTTGAGGATTGCCAGGCAAGCATGCTATCTGTAACCTTTTTAAAAAAGTATTTATGATTAAGTAGATTTACATTAAACATACCAAGGAACCTTAAGCACGACTAATTCTGCTGGCAGGGCATCACACGGCTGGGAAGCTGAGGCAAGAGGATCACAAGTTGAGCCAGGTCTGGACAACCTAGCAAAACCCTGTCTCAAACAAACATTTTTTATAAAAAGGGTAGGGATATAGTTCAGTGCCAAGGTCCTGGGTTAAATCTCTAGCACTAAAAAAAAAAAAAAAAAAAAGACTCATTCTAAAACTTCATTAGGCTGTTGCCGTGCGTCTATTGAACCACATGCAGTCCTGCCGGGGACAGAGGGAGAGGGGAGTTCACGCTTGCTTAGTGATTAGCCTGGCGCCTTACTAAGTTTCAGCTGTGATAATCCTCTGCTGAATGTGGGGCAGCCTCCCTCCCACCCCTCATGACCCTACCGCCCGTGAAAAACCGGCCCCCCATTCAACCGCACTCAAGAACCTTCATTTTTATCTTCCATTAAGAGTTTGTTTGGTGAAATGACTCTGAGGCTCAAAAGAAGGCTCGGTTGTTTAAAAACCACAGGGTTAGAGAATGGTGCTATGAGGTCAAGGTCAAAAGGTCACTAGGCCAGGGTTTTCTCGCCAAGGGAGAAAAGCTTCCATGACAATGACTCAGTACAAAGTTAGCTTTACTGACATAAGCAAAACCAGAACAACAGCAATCATCTAATGCACACACTGTCCTAAATGCAAGTGATCAGGGCAGAGTTCTGGCTCCACGCTGCAGCCAACTCGGTTCTAAGGGTGCCTCGACCTCTTAGCAAGAGGTTTCTTACAGAGTAGAGCCTCCTTGAGCCTTTTCCACACCTGTAGGTAACAGTCATGACTACCTCACAGGAGAAGCAAGTGGGTTCAGGGAATGCTCCTAGTACTGTGCTGAGCACCAACATAAGCTCTCAGTAAGTGTCATCAATTAATAAAACTATTGTTGAGTAAGGGATTTAGCTCAGTGGTACCGCACCCGACTCACAAGCGCAAGGTCCTGAGTTCGATCCCCGGTACGGGGGTGGAATGGTAGTGGTACGTGCTGAGGCTTAGAAATGTAAAATTATATTCTCGTTTTCAGTTACTGTAACACTTTATATCTCTTTCAAGCCAAACTCTTTTTTTGGTACCAGGGATCAAACTCGGGTCCTTGCGCTTGTGCAGCAGGCGGTGAAACCACTGAGCTAAATCCCCAGCCAAACTCTTAATATTACAGATGTTTGTGTGTATTTCTAGCACATGTATACAGCTATAAAGTAGAGATAGTTCTTGGGATTCTTCATCTTTGTGTCCTTTATGAAGCGTAACCCAGATCTAAATATTTGGTGAAAAAATAAACATTCTAATTAGAGTGGGTCTGCAGCCAGAGGCATGTACATATAATCCCCCTACTTAGGATCCTAGTAGAATGTCATACACTTTTTGAATGCTCTATGAATATTTTATAATAACCACAATGATGGGCCAGGGATTTAGCTCAGTGGTTCCACCGCCTGCCTTGCAAGCTCAAGGTCCTGAGTTCCATTCCCGGTACCAAAATAAAATAACCACAATGATATAATGATTATAATTATGAATAAAGATTACTCTTAGCACGAATTTCCTGAACTAGGGTTATGTCTGTCGGCAGCATTGAAAATTTATTTGCATAAGATTTCAGCTTAATGCAAACTGAACCCTAACTTACTTCTTAAAATAACTAAAGCAAACAAATCAATGTGTCCTTTACCTTTCAAACAGCTGTTTCTAGAACCAGGAGCACTGGGCAGTGCTGTAGGTTGCAACACATTAGGTCCTCTTTTCTTTCTACATTTACATAATAACTACTTTACTTGTTTTTTGACAAGTCAGCCATTGGATTATTTTGCATTCGTTTGGTAAGCTTTGTAATGCCTATGACTAAGTGGCAAACCAACTAGTGAAATCTTAGGAGCTTTTGGACATAGAAGGAAGCAGAGCAGGCCACATGGGCCATTCCCTTCCGCTTTCTCAATTCTAGCTTTTTCCAAATGAGAGAGACTCAGCACTGTTCTGTGAGAGGAAATCACAGAGCCTGCCACCAGTATAGGTAAGTTGTCCACACTGTGATCCAGAGTTGAGTTTTCTAACGTTAACCAATGTTCTTCAGAAAGAAGTAGCGTTCGTAGCAGTAACACCTGGGGCAGCAATGAGGGAACACACTGGTCCCCTTAGTAAGCCCCCTCGGGTTTCCTCCACTGGAAAGTTATATGCAGGTGGTGAACCCAGCTGTCCCAAAGTGCACATCATTTTCTCTGGGGAGACTCACTTTGTTTTTTCGTGGGCACATGATTCACATACTCACACACACACACACACACACACACACCTTGCCACCATGACTTCCCTTAAACACTCAAGACAAACACAGCCCCTTAACAGCTCTGCAAAATATTTGAGTATAACAAAAACTTTCCAAACTAACCAAACAAACAAAAAGCCCCCTCAATTCAGGGTGGTATGTACTCATTTTTTTTTAAAAAGTGAAATGAAAAACTGTATGAAGATGAGAATTACCTAGAGGGTTGCTCCAATTCCACCTGTCCTGAAGGTCTGGTTCGATGTTGGTGACTTCTTGCCCAGGGGTCTCTTCCTCACTTCCTCCTCATAAATCTCATTACCATGTCCCTTCTCAGGCACCAGATTCCTAGCTGCAGCATACTCAAGACCCACTATGACTTGGTTTTTATTGCAACCTGATGAAAGAGCCACAGGAGGTATTATGTACTTCCATTTTAACAGAAGGAGCTTGAGGCTCAGGGAGGTTAAGCTCTGGCTTCCAGGGCTGGGGATGTAGCTCAGTGGTAAAGTACACCACACACCCAACTAGTCTGCAAGTTTTTGCAAACTGTTGGGATCTCAAAAAAAAAAGCAGCTGTAAGTGGATCCATGCAAGTGCAAGGTCCTGAGTTTAATCCCTGGTACCGGAAAAAAAAGAAAAAGAAAAAGAAAAAGAATCAGTTGCATTTTCCTATCTTATTTTCTCCTTCCTTCCCTCTAGATTTGGACAACTGAACCCTCTCAAAATAGAAAATTGGAAAATGATCATGGAATCTCCAGAAAGTTCTACCGAACACTTGATAACATGTTTACTGGAGGTGGAAATATTACAACATATAACTACACAAAAAGAGGGACACAAACTACCTCCTTTATTCCAGCACTTTCCTAATGACTCTGTCCCTTCAAAGCTATACCTAAACTGAGACAGCCAAAATATTCTGATGTGTTGACTCAGAATATCTTGTGTAGTAATTTAGAAAAAAAGAAAACACAATTCTGGTTCCTGCAGGTTTGAACAAAATACATCAATATGGAATTAGAGCCAGGTATGGTGGTGTACAACTATAATCCCAGCACTGGGGAGACTGGGGCAGGAGGATCACTCCAAGTTTGAGGCCAGTATGTGCTACATAGTGAGTTCAAGGCAAGCATCCCAGAATATACAGTGAGACCATGTCTCCAGAAAAAAAAAAAAAGGAATTGGAGCAATTTTGGCAAATATAAATGAAATTCTACACCACCATGTCTGAAAAATTCAACCTCTAAAACAATTGATTGCAATTTGTGACCTTAACCTCCCCAGATTTCCATTTTCAATCCATGCCAACTCTGAACCAAGTTTACAACTCAAATACTGGTTCAATAGTCTCATCAAGATGTCTGCCACCAAGGTCCCCAGTATCAGTTTCAACTATGCCTCTCTCTTTTTTCCCTAAAAATCAGAGGGAGAAATTCAAGGCTTTTAGAACCAGAAAGAAACTTTAAAAAATCACATATATATAATACATATATTATATATATTAGTACAGTACTGAATAGATCACTCTGTTCTGAAGCTGAACTGTATTGCTTTCATTTAGGATAAGACCTCACCCCCTGAACAAAATACCTTTTCTTTCATAGGTCTCAATTCGAGCAAATATTTTCTGAGTAGCCCAGCTAGTGTGTGGTCCATTATTCCCAGATACAGATATTAACACACATTCACAAAGTAATTGCTTGATGCAATAAGAATTTAAATCACTGCTGAGATGTCTTTCTATAAATCAAGAGCTTCTATACTGACAAGGAGACACTCTTTTTTGCATGTTATGCTTCAAAGAAAGAGTTCACTTAGTAAACTATGCAAACAATTGTTCACTTGTGATTGTTTTCCAGCATAATTCCACCATTAATCAATGGTATGATGGGGGCAAAGGAATGACATCTTAATAGGCATTATGGCATGGGTGGATCTTGTAATTATTGTTTAGTATAAGAAGCCAGACAAGACACATTGTTTCTATTTATGTGGAATGTCCAGAATGGGCAAACCCATAGAGACAGAATAAATGGTTTGGTAACTGTAAGGGGCTCCTGCAGGAGTGGGGAGTTGACTGATAATAGATATGGGGTTTCTAATTGGGATGATGGAAATGCTCTGGAATTCCTGGTGACGGTCTCTAACTTTGTGAATATATAAAAATCACCTAATTGTGCACTTTAAGAGTAAATTCCATAGTGTGTGGATTGTATCTTAATTTAAATGACTAAATCTAAAATATAATTTCAAACATAAATCTATTAAAACCTCAGAATCTGTCATATATTTTGCTGTTTTTTGATACTGAGTATTGAACTCAGGGCCTTCACATTGAGCTACATCCCAGGTGTCTCCCCATCCCTTATTTAAATTGTTTTTGGTACTGGGGATCGAACTCTGGACCTTTCGAGGCAGGTGCAGTGCCACTGAGGTAAATCCCTGGCCCCCTATTTTTAAATTTTGAGACAGGGTCTAGCTAAATTGCCTAGGCTAGGATCAAACTTGTGATCCTCCTGCCTCAGCCTTGCAGAGTGCTGGGATTAAAGGCATGTACCACCACACCCAGCTTTTTTTGGTTTTTTGGTACCCGGGATCGAACTCAGGACCTTGTGCTTTCGCGGCTGGTGCGGTGCCACTGAGCTAAATCTCTGGCCCCGTACTCAACTGTCCTTTTGAAAAACATTAATTAATTATCACTTCTCGGCCTTTTGGCTAAGATCAAGTGTAAAAAAAATTATATTTGCCTTCATCTGAGGGCCTATACAATAAGTATATACTTATTGTAGCACGCAGGAGGATCGTGAGTTCAAGGCTGGCCTGGACTAAATAGTGAGACCTTTTCTCAAAACACACACACACACACACACACACACACACACACGCGCGTGCGCGCGCGAACACACAAAGAAAAAGAGAAATGAGAGGTCAAGACAGATAATTCTGGAGTGGAGGACACTTGCTTTTAGGGGGTACTGAGGGTTGAACCTTTTCAATCCAAGAACCCCTTTGCCTTTGATCTTCCACCTCTTACTACAATGGGAAGAGTTGACAATGGGAACACTGACATTTATGAGGAGGAATTTTAGAGAATACTGAATCCAAATGCTGTATTTTATAGGTGAAGGAGCCCAGGTTCAGGAGAAAAAGGTTTGCTCTCAGCCACCCAGAGACCCAGCGAAGGGCTGAGAATCAAAGATTTCCTTTCCGGACTGTCTGTGGGTTGCCCTGCGGCCTTCCTAGCGGTCAGGGCCCTCAGCTCGAGGACCCCGCAGGGGTGGCTCGCGGTGACCCCTAAGGGAGCACCGGTTCCCCGCCTCTCCTTCCCAGGGGCGCGCATTTCACTCGGTGATGCGCGATGACTCCAGCATACTTGCAAGACGCGTGCCGCTTGCTGGGGAGGACGGCTCACGAGGAGGACCCTTACTGTAAAAGAATGACTGGATAGCTGGCGTAATGGTTTTTGTTTCAGTAATACCTGTTTTTTTCATAAAATCGATCCTCCCCTCCCCAAGCTCTCCTGTTTCAAGCCACCTTCGGTCTCTTCTTGGACTTTCTACGACTCGAGCATTTAGGACTGAACTAGCGAGTCACTTTCAGCCCTAAACTCGAGGCAGTCGCTACGTTTTCTTTAGAGCCCCTCGAACCGCGGCACCCTCTGGACCCAGGACTTTTCTCCGATAGCACGGTGGGCACTTCGGTGACTAGACGGGGGGGAAGTCTGTCCCGGCCGAGCCACCCGCAGGAAACCAGAAACCTGCACACTTCCGAGCCCGCCTCTCAGCCGGGGCCGGAGAACAGTTTCTTAGCGGTGTGCGGGGTCGGCGGGGGGTGTGTGTGTCAGTCCCGCGTGTCCGGCCCTACCTGTCTCACTGGGGACATGGTTTTCACTCGGGGCGGTGGGAGTAAGTACTGCAACTCGGGGACAGCATGCAGGGCGGAGGTGCGCCTAGGTGCCTCGTGGGTCCGCGGCAGGCTGAGCGGCGCGCAGGCGCACTGGGGCCGGCCGGCTCCTGGGTACAAAAGATCGCCGCGTAAGCCTAGGCTTCCTCCCGGCCCGACCTAACCGCAGGCCCGCGGGACACTCCTGCTCGCTTCAGGGCGCAGCTACCGTCCGCGGCCGTCAGTGCCCGGCCGCCGCGCGCTCCGGGTTTAATTCTGGCGCTGCCAGCCCGGCCGGCTCCGCCCCCTGCGCCCGCCCCGCCCTCTGGAGCCCAGAGCAGTGGCGCCGCGAGCTGCCAGCCGGGGCTCGCGAGGAGAGGCTGGAGGTGAGTGGCGCCGGGGTGCGCTGCACTCCCTTCCCCGGCGGGGTCGGCCCGGGGTCGCCCAGGCTGCGACCCCTGCATCGCGGCCGCCCCGCGGGCCGAGCTGGGCAAACTTGGCTCGCGCCCTGGGGGCTCTGCGGCGGGGACGGAGGGCGGCCCCGCGGGCTTGCACTCTCCGGGCTTCCGAGGCGGCCTCCGCACGGCCTTGGGGAGGATCCGAGAGCTGGCTTGGGGCCCGCGGTCGGCCCGGAGCTCCGGGTGTGGGAGGGGGAGCGGAGCGCCCCGGCCCCGGGCAGCGGGAAAGTACGCTCGCGCCGGCGGGCGGGAGGGTGCGGGCTCCTCGCCGCCCCTAGCCGAGGGCGCCGGCCCTTGGGTGCCTCTGGGCCCTTTCTTAGTCCGAGACGGGCTGAAGCACCCTTCTCTGGAGGCGTTTTTCCGTTAAGGTCGGTGCTCTGCTCTGCCGAAGGCAGTGGCGATCAGGACCCCTTTATCCTCGTCCTAGAGCGGCAGGTGGCCCCGGGTCGCCTCAGTCGATTCAGAGATGGCTCCAGCCTGGGGTGGAGGGGCGGGGTGGAGGGTGGGTGTGGGCGCTACGGCGCCCAGGGCTTGGGGAAACCGCCCAGCCCGGAGGACAGCGTGGGTTTCTGGAGGATCCGAGGTGCAAGTCGAGGGAGGGTGCACGCGTCCTTAAGCGGGCTTCGTCCCTGGGCGTCCCTTCTTACGTGTCACTTTGACAAACGCACAAGGAGCCCCGATCTCAGGGCAGCCACCCGTTCCATTTCACCTGGGTCCCGTGGAAGTTTGAGGGGCAGCCCTTCGGGATAGGTGCTGCAGTTCAGCAAGAGCTCTGTAGCTCTCGTGCTAGCGTTAATAACAACCTATGGCGTCCTCCAGCGCTCGCCCTCTGCGGAGTTTCAGCCCATCTTATAAATTAAATTATATCAGACTGCGAGCCCTAAGACTAACAAGGTTAATCATCCACATCTGTCATCGAGCAGTTCCTTGACCCACCTTAATGCCGCACACTTGAGCTAGATGGAAATCAGGGACTTCTTATTTTTATTTTTATGTTTTTCGGTACCGGGGATCGAACTCAGGACCTTGCGCTTGCCAGGCAGGCGCGGCGCCACTGAGCTACATCCCCGACCCTTTTTCCTTGTTTTTAGTTAATGACTTTATTCTTGATTTTTTTATATGGTACTCAGTTTATTTGCTAGTTTCTCCTTTCCTCAACTCTCTCTGTTTGAATGTTGGGCATTCCCACATTTTATTTATTTAAAAATTTGAGATGTATGCCTCGTTTCTCTTATATGAGAAACCTGAAATATAAGGAGCAAAATAAAAGATAGATATTAGGAAACAAGGAGATATTTTGCAAAAGGGAAGGAGACCAGGAGATGGAGGGAAGAGGAATGGAACAGGATGAAAAAAGAATTAAGATGTGTTAGGTACATGTACCAACTGCCCATAGTGCATGTAATCATTGTGTACTGCAGACATGTACTAATAAAAGAGTAAACACTTGAAAAGAGTAAAATATCCCTACAAGAGAATTCCACAGCCAGTTGGTTTCCACTAGTGAATTCTCCTAGGCTTTTTAAGGAAGAAAAATAATCTACAAATTATTTGAGAGAATCAAAACTAAGAAATATTAACTTATTTTATACCAAATTTTGCCAAGAAAATTATAGGGAAAAGTTGTTCACAAATCTTTCTCACCAATAAAATTAAAATATGAAATGTTTAAAAAATTTTTTTTGAGATGTAATAAACATACCACAAGTTTACCCCTTAAAGTGTACAATTCAGAGTGGCTTTTAGTATATTTATGAAGTCATCACTAATTTCAGAATGTTTCCATCACCCTGTCAGAAAAACACCATTTCTTTTTCTTTTGTTACCAGGGATCGAACTTGGGACCTTGCGCTTTCCAGGCAGGCGTCAGAACCACTGAGGTAAATCCCGTACCCCAAACACCATTTCTTGAGTCATTCCCCATTTCCTCCTTCCTACCCTTATTCCTACATTTGAGGGTAACCACTTGTTAGAGAGATTGAATGAGAGCATGATGATGATGATTAACTTTGGTCCTTTTACTGTCAGTAGGTTTGGGGAAAGCTGCTGCCACTGAGGCAATTGAAAAGAAGTTAAGTATGGGCAATCCTACAGGGAGGTTAAAATGTCTAAGGAAGGAGAACCTATTGGTGAAGGCGTAATTGCGTCCCTTTCAGATACAGAAATTGGGATGTGCTTTATCTCCTAGGGCACAGGGATACATTTGGTCATCTTTTGTGCTCTTAATTTGCCTCATCTACTGATCTGTCTAGTTGAAGTTCTGCAGCAGAAGTGAATTCTGGAGAGATGTTAGAGAATAATAACTTCAGGATAAAAGGAGTTTTTGTTGTTGTTGTTGTTTTGGAGGTGCTGGGGATTAAATATAAGGGTCTCAAGCATGCCAGGGAAGTGTTCTGTCCCAGATCTATATCCTGAGTCCTTAAAAGTAGTCCTTAAAATATTCTCCAACCTGGCCCCCAAGGAAAGAAACCACAGGCATTGATATATTCAAGACAAGGTTCATTTCAGGAATGTAGCATTGGCTCACAAATACTCCTCTGAATTAATGTGCTCCTGCCTTAACCTTCTTGATGAGGTAGGAGGAGATGAGAAAGGATCTGGCTGGAGGGAATGTGAGGAATTGGGAAGGGTGTGGGAGAAAGACTGGGGAGAGCTGTGCTTGGGTGTTAGGTAAGTATAGGGTAAGCAGATTCAGAAGCAGCAAAGTGGGTCTCTGTGAGAAATTGCAGACATTTCACCTGCCTTTTGTTGTATTGTTCATGCATGTTTTAAAAATCAGTTGTATTGAGTTGAACCTGTCCAAATTAGGCCTCAACTGCACTTCTCATCTACCCTCCAATTATATAAAGATGTCAGGTTGGTTTCAAATACTGAATTATAGGAAAAATGTTATGTGTATTGCAGGCAACTGGATTTATACCACTTCTTTTTTTTTTCATAGTAACTTAAAAATGAAGCTATTAGCTCAGTGGTTCTGCTGCCTGCCTTGCAAGCACAAGGTCCCGAGTTTGATCCCTGTACTCCCCCCCAAAATTGAGCTGTATGCCAAACATACAGTACATCTTGACAAATTTTCACAAAACTAACATCATAAACCTATAAGCCGCACCCAGATAAAGAAACAACACTGCCAACATTGGAGAAAATCCTCTCATATCTTTCTCCAGTTACTACCCCTTCCCTAGAGGAATCACTATGCCAGCCATAGATGGGTTTTGCGAATTTTCATGCTTTATATACATGAACAAAATTAATATATGTATGTATATGTGGTATGTAGTTTGTTTCAACATTTTGTTTGAATCTCAGCGGTGTTGTTGCTGGTGGCTGGAGTTGAATCTTGTTTATTGCTGTGTATTATTTCATTGTGTGACTTTATCACAGTATATCCATTCTAGGTATATCAGTTAGTACTCACTAGAGAAACATTTAATGCAGGATATATAAGGATTTACAAGGTAGGCTTACAGTGGCCACCGAACAGCCAGGTGTGGAAGAGTGCAAAAGAGTTGTCTGCCCACTGGAGATCCAAAGGATCCAGTCAAAGGACAAAGGCCTGGAACTCACTGTAGGGTCCCATACAAGTTTGTATAAGGAGACCGAAGGGTCTTCAATGGAACGCTAAAGGGTCTGTGCCAGAAGGTAGGAGACAACTTCCAAGGGAAGAGGAAGACTAGAGCTTCTCTGAAGAACAGAAGCAAGCCTTCCTTCTTCATTTCTCTTTTATTCCATTCAGGGGACTAGCTGCCCTTGGGTGGGTCTTCTGTTTTTAGTAAATCCCTTCAGCCACACCCAGGACTATGCGGATCCAGCTTAGTTGGGTGTTTCTGAAGTCTACACAAGTCAGTTAACTATCACATTAGGGTTGAAGGGCTTTTAAGCATTGTAGTTTCTAATTTTTTTCCTATGGCAAATAGTGGGATTATGAATATTCTAATACATGTCTTGGTACACGCAGTGCGCTTTTTTTGGATATATACTTAGGGATAGATTTCTGAATCCCAAACTAGTATTCAGGTTGGAAGATACTGTCAGATAGATTTCCAAAGTGTTTATTTAGGTTATACCTCTACCAGCAGTGTATGAGAGCTCTAGCCTGGCTTCTTAAACTCCAAAAGCAGATCTGTAGTGAATTTAGCAAAAGAACAGAGTGTGATCCCTATTTACCTCATCCTAGCAGGTTATTTCTAGTGTGTTCACTTTCAGTACCTTTCTATATCTGTTCATGTAAAATTGCAGTTCTTTTTTTTTTTTTGGTGCCAGGGATCAAACTCGGGACCTTGTGCTTGCGAAGCAGGCAGCGGAACCACTGAGCTAAATCCCTGGCCCCCACCATTATATTTTTTTTGACAGAAATTGCCATAAAAAGTTTGATCAATGAGATGTGATAAACACTAAAGTGAATGCTTAAATTTAAAAATTGTTTAAGTAACACATTGTCTCAAGATACTCAGAGCATTCCCCCTCACTTCTGACACACTTAGCCCATCATTCTTGGCAATATGTCTTTTACTATGATAAATTTTTAAAAGTTTTTTTTGATACAGGGATCGAACTCAGGACCTTGCACTTGCGAGGCAGGCAGCAGCACCACTGAGCTAAACCCCCTGCCCCATTCACCATATTTTTGATCATCCATTCTTTTGCAGAATTAATCTTTGTGCACAAGTCCCTCACCCCTTTTTTTCCATGTTACCTAAACTAGTGATTTTCTTTTCTATGGCTGTGGATTCTTGTTAAACTGTTGAGCTTCATGTGGACTTGATTAAATCTTTAAATTGCCAATAGATTACCTGCAAAAGATAAGTCTTACAGAGTTTAATTGTAATTCTAAAATAATGGTTAGCCTCCGCATGGTGGTGCACACCCTTAATCCCAGCACTTGGGAGGCTGAGGTCCAAGGATCACTGAGTTCAAGGCCAG